AATATAAGCATCAGGTCAGGAAGATTGTAACATTTATTCATTTGGGGCTCAGACTGAGCTAGTGATCTGACATGCTACAATTTTCACTGTGGCTTTTTTTGTCTGTGTGTGACAAGCAGTATGCAGAAAAATAAACAGGATATTGGCAATATATATGTCAGTATTCAGCAGAGACACTAGTCCTTTCTATTCCTATTAAAATTTTACTTTCAGGGGTTACATTGATTTATTCAAATTGATGATACAGTGCTTTAGATTTTAACAATTGTTATAGATGTAACTTTGCAAGATAGAAACTGCCAGTGCTGGTTGGCTGAACATGGATTGGTGGCATTTCTTAACACATCATGGATTTTTTACAAGTTCTTTAATTTTTTCCTTAAAATAAAGGTAGACTTTAATGTTTTTCTTAGGGTTTTTTTAATGTTGCTCTACTGATTGCAACCCAGTAAACAAAGATGGAAAAGGACAAAGTGAGCAGTGTCTATGCTGTGACACAGTATGACAGAAGCAGTTTTTCTCTGTCTTTCTACAGACTGGAGATTATTACAAAACTGCTGTTTCATCCTTTCATCTGCCTCACTGTTGCCCAAACACTGCAAGATTAACATTTTGGAGTTTCTTGAAAATTTTTATACTTTCTCCTGTTTCCATTAGAAAATGTGACTTTTGCCTGTTGGATTTTCAGTTTTCAGAACATGAAATCAAGAACACACTTGAAAATTTCTGGCACACCTGAAAACTTCTACAGAGATAGAATTCTTTGTTCTCTATTTGAGTCAAGATATAAAGTCACTTTGTAATATATGTACACGTGAGTGTACTGCGGATCTGTGTGCACATGTGTGTGGTTATACTTGTACACATAGAAAACAACTGACTAACTTTGATATGAAAATGATGGTAAATAAAATACCTAAACAGTGGAAAACAAACAGTAGGAAAAATCATGTTGCATTACATATCTGGATTCATAATCATAAATCCACAGGAAAAAAACGTCATAGAATCATTTAGTTGGAATAAACCTCATAAGGTAGTCTGGTCCAGCTCTTCCAGTAGAAGCTTGAAAGTTAGAGGGAACTTCAAAATTAGATGAGGTTGGTCCAAGTTACATTCTCTTAACATCATGTACTGGAACACAAAAATAAACATAGGAAAATTTTAAAAGTCACATACACTATCCTCTTGTTCTGAGGGAACATTAGCTCTACTGCTTCTGATCCACATGTTTTTGGAGAATGACCATAAAATGATTTCTATTGCTTGGCCACTTTCTTTCAATACTTGACCATCCATTAACTTAAAATGGAAAAAAATCCTATTACTCAAATTTAATAGTTTAGAACTTTGTTACTTATTCTTGTCATTTCATAATATTCAAGCATAAGAAATTCATGCTGCTGTTTTCAAACAGATATTAATTATACTATTTTCAGTAGGAATCCAAAAGCTCCCTTTTCAGGTTATTTACAAGTATAGCTGAATATATGAAAATAACAATAACTGGAAAATCCAAGTTCAGAAATGCAAGAAATATTCCTGTTTCGTGAATGCAGGAATTGATTTTGCTGGCTTAAGTCATCTACATTTTCATTACACCTTGTAATATTCAGCAAAGCTGAGATTTGGCCATTGGCCCAAGAATTCCAAAAAGAACAGGTGGGAGACAAGAAAAAGGGTTAAAACTACATTTTTCCCTATGATTCTTCCTTACCTCTTGTTTATAAAAGACAATGATCATTTGAAAGAATAGCCAGTTCACATCTTAGAGCATAAAAAGGGTTGAAATAGAGTCCAGTAAACGGTTTTCATCTCTGAATCAAAACATCAGGTTTTTTAGATTCTGAAATAAAATAGTGGAGCCATTAAAAAAAAAGAAAAAAACCACTAAATTAATTTTTTTAAAAAAATAAGAATTGTGAAATTCTTAACATTTACAGGAAAAAAAAATATTTGAAAATGGAAGACAAAAACGTATCAACAGCAAGGGACTTTTACTGTATGACATTATGTTTAACAGCCTGAAAAAAAATTTGGGTTGCTGTTTAGCCAGTAAGTAGAAGTACAACAGTCGCATCTCATAGCTCCATGCAACAGGTTTACCCTAAACTTGCAAGCACCCTTTTTTTATATGCAGAAACCAAGTGTTTATGGTCCTGTAAGTTTGCTGAGTCTTACCATATGAATAGCAGAAGATGGATTTTAAAGTTCCATTTAATAAAAAAAATAGAAGTTACCCCAGTGTGGTAGGAAAATACAATGTATCTGAAAAAGAAGAAGAAAAAAAAAAAAACAAAACCACCTATTTTCTTTCTTTACCTAACAAAGTAACAATCACAACTAATCAAAATGTTGTTTTCCATATCAGTGAATTCTAACTTTTAAAATAAAATAAAGTTTATTTTGGAAAAAAAAATCACCTAAAATATATTTTTAGTTGTTACACAAAATATTTGGTCATTAGACATGTTTTAGGACTGTGGCAAAATATGTTCTTGTTTATAACTAAAACTGATCCTAATCTTTCAACTAAACTTTTCTTTGCTGTTTCTCAATAGAATACACTGACTTCGGTAACATCTCTGTGCAGCTTTATTTTCCCTAAAGGACACCCTAAGTGCTGTGATTCCCAAACATCTTCACATTCTTAAGGCCAAAATAGGAATAGAGTCCTTCTGCTCCACCACTGGCATCCTTTTCCTTGTCACATTATGCCATAACACCCCATTTTATAGAGTGCTTTCCTCAGCTCTTTCTTAGGACAGTGACTATACATTCCATTCTAAGGAAAATTTCAGTAAAAAGCTAAGCAATGTAGCCCTCAGTCTAGACTACATGCCTCAGCCTTTACAGAATATGAACAAACCTCAAGTTTTGTTTGAGTGAAACAGGTGTGGAATACTAAGATGTAAGGTTATCTCATTCATACATTACAAATAAAGATGATGTGCTCCTCACCTCATCAAAATAATCTAATGTGAAGCAGCAGCATTCTCACAACCGCCTTTCAGCACCAAAAGAGGATCTACATCTTATTTCCTTGGTTTTCACCTGGAGTATAAATACACTGGAACTTACAGGTGCCTCATCACCTACTCCCAGCACATATAAACATGCACAGCTTAGAGAAATCTTCAGGTCAGACTTACACGCCATATCAAACAGTAAGACTTTTCTCAGTGTCTGTATCTTCCCAATGATTTCAAGCTCCATAGGTTTGAGTTCGGAAGGCACATTTCATCCAGAGCTTTTTCAGTGTTTTCTACTCTTGTCCACTGAAGCTTTGTGCTGTACTGTTACTCCCTCACCTGCTCTTTCAGTTCATTGCAGGTTGCTAATTTCTTAACATCTCCTACCTAAACTGAGGCCTACCAGTGTGGGTCCAATGTATTTCCATTGTTGTGACCACAAAAAAAAGTGCCAAACTGCTTTCAAATCATACATAGACATTCTATTTGGAGCTTTAAAGGAAAACAAGTTATTAGTGAAGCTTTCAGAAAAATCAGAATCAGGATGAGATGTGTGCTGCTTATATAAAGACTTACGCGTAAAGCTGCCTGAAAATATTTGATTTGCCTTAAGTAGCTTTTAAAAATCCAGAAAGTATTTTTTAAGTGTTCTCAGATTTCTAAGGAATATTGAAACATCAAAGGGAGTTTGGGTGTTTTGTTGGTTTTTTTTGGGAGGTTGCTTTTTTTTTCCAAAAAAAAAAAAAAAAAAAAAGAGCTTAAAAAATGGCAAAAAAAATTTCAAAGACTTTATTCTCCAGTTTTTGTCAATAAATTTCATGGAAATTAAAATAATTTCTGAAAGTTCTACTCATATGAAACCAGGTGCTCACATTTTTTTAATATCTATTTTTAATTATCATATGTATTACCATATTCCATTTATTCATAAAATAACTGCATGATCTGAGGAATGAAAGCTGCTTAGCCCTTTGAAGAGTTTCAAGTAATAAGATATTTAATGAAAAAGCAAAGTATCAGCAGTCTGACATCCAGTGCAAACACATACCAGACATATACTCTCCTCCAAGGCATATTTGGGTTAAAGGAACCCTAGAATATTACAGAAGTTTTTTGCCAGTTACATTAGTACAAAGTGAATGAGGTAATATTTATTTTCAATATCACACTCTAGGAACAAATGTTTTGTGATTTTCATTAAATGGTGATTTACCAGTAGCATGGTAATACCTCACCACTGAAAGCAGGACTGGAGTTAGCTCAGACTGCAACTGTTTTTAAAAGCTGCGCTTTTGTTCCTTAATCCTGTATTCAGGGAATACTGCAAGTTCTGATAATCAGTCTGCTATTTCCTCAGACTTTGTTGTTATAAATGTATTAACTTTTTCATAAAGCAATCTGTATTTGCAATTAATCAAGTGAGTTGTCTCTTTAAGATAGTAGCCTAGCAACTTCCCGAACAGGGGGAAGTCCCAGTTGGTGCTGCAGACCGACACAATTATTATCTCCAGGCTGATCTCACCCGTCAGAGACTTTCAAAGCATCTCTCTGATTATAAGAGGAGAGAAAAAAGTTTGGTGGATGCTCAGAAAACCAGTTATATGTAGGTGAATATTCTTTATGTGAATGTGAGCTAAATTTTTCAGGGAGTAGATGTTTTTATTTGTTTAGAAATTAATACAGATTTGTTTCTTATTTCCAAACAGGCCCAAGGAATGGAAAATTAGTTTTTCTTTCTTGTTGTTTTGCTTCCTTTCCCAACTAACCACTTATGCAAGTGGAACAAAAGCAGGATTTTGGAAACACGAAAAGGTACTTTCTAGGTGAGCTAAACTGAGTGTGAACCCACCTAAACAGATTATACTGAATTCATCTCAAGGTGTCTAGATTTAAAATTCTATGCAAGACTACAGACCTATTAATTTGGTTTTGACTGAAGTTGTGTCAGGGGAGGTTTAAGTCAGATATTAGAAAAAGATTCTTTATTCAGAGGGTGATTGGGCATTGGAACAGGCTCTCCAAGGATGTGGTCACATCACCAAGCCTGACAAAGCTCAAGAAGATTTGGATGATACTCTCAGGCACATGGTGTGACTCTTGGGGATGACCCTGTGCAAGGCCAGGAACTGGACTCACTGGTCCTTGTGGGCCCCTTTCAACTCAGCTTATTCTGTATTCCTGTGATTCGGTGATCAAATCTTTCACAGCTTCATGGCCTTGAGTCTGGAAATACCAGGTTTCCAGGACTCAGGGTTCCTCATATCATTCCTCAGTCACAGCTGCAGACCAGAACTTCTGTCTGAAAATGGCCATGGGGCTACCCTTGTATCAACAGTAGATAGATCTTTGAACAGGAGCAGAGGAAACCTTAGGGACAGAGCTATATCAAGGTTTCGTTTTTGCACACACATTGTGCACAGGTGTCTTCTCTGAGTCTAAAGCCTTTTAGCATGCCCACCAAAATGGACATTATCTATGTCTGTGCAGACAATTCAAAGAGTCACAGTGGGAAAAAATTTTCCTAATTTTTTCTGTTTGCTTTCTCTGAGCACCTAACAATGATCAAAAACCTCAAACCATGCAAGACTGATTTTAAACTTTCAATTTAACTGCAGTTTACAGGGACTAACCTGAAGATGAGTTTGTCCCTTGTGTAAGGGCATTTTTGTTGCTCCCCTGAATATTCAATCAAGCAGAAGCTGTAACTCCTTTTCCAAAATCTCCTTGTATTCATTACCAGAAAAGCAGAACAGTTCTGATTCAAATTGCTGAAAGGATTTAATTTAAATCAATATACATTGCTTCACAGCTTTCTGTCTGGGGTCAGGGATGAAGATTGTTGCAACCAGTAATTCACAACCAAAGACACAGCCACTGAATGTTGAGAGACATAGACTGTTTTGTATAATCACTAAAATTTGCATGGTTTATATGAAGTTGAGTATGCTTTTCTTCTTTCAGTTCAACTTGTTTATGAAAATATCCCCCTACTGCCTAATCCTTTAAACTTAGTTTCAGAGGCAACAAGTGGCCAAGTGCTTACATCATTCTTGGGAGTGATGAAGATAAAATTATTTAAAAACATTTAATCCTTTTAGTAACCTTCTGAAGGATTGCCTAAGCAGTCAAATTGAATTAATCCCAGTTTCACCATCTATGAATTAATATCATTACTACATCTTGCTGCTTAACTCCTAGTATGTTCTATCTTACAATGTGTTATACTACTATAGACCAATGGACTGTTAATTGAGACAAAAAGCAGATCTTTTGGTGTAATTTTTAAATCATTTCTTTAGAAAATATGGATAAGGCTCAGTGTTCTTTGCACAGCAATCACAGAGAGCTCTCTCAAAAGGTAGATAGAGAATGACTGATGCAGATCCTAAAGCATAAAGATGTATAAGGGGTAGGAATCAATACAATGTAGTTGAAAGGAGTAGGATTAATAAGAACTGAGTTAGATTTAAGAGAAAGAGGCTTGACAGAGAATATTTACTGACTAGATGTCTTCACCTTTGCAATTCACTTCCTGTCCTAGACCTAAAGAGTATAAGGCTTTCATGCTTGCACTCAGATATATAGAAAGTGGGCAGACAACTGAACAGACATGAGCCCATATGATGTAGAAGAATCAGACCAAACTAGCATATTTAACCTCTTATTTGTTTATATGCTAAAGGAATAAGATTAAATTTATTCTACAGAATGAAACTAAATCCTAAAAGAAAATATGGTCTACCCATTATAGCCCAAAGAAAAGTGGATATTGGCACTTTAATGCAAAGTTCTATTACTTCCTAAAATTCACCATAGTCTGTACATCTCAGTCATACCTACTATGTTCCTGCTAGTAGCATAAGTTCAAATAAGTGAATACACTGAGTCTCTATCCAAATATGTCCAACCAATTCTAATGTGCATCTCTGCTACATAGCTGACACGTCATGTTTACTAAACATGAGCAGATAAAAGGTATAAAGAGTATGCCCCAGTCATCATTAGTCTGTATCATAAGAAGGTAACTGTCTTTACCAAAGTTTCTAAGGGATGTCATCTGAATATGCTTGCTTCCAGAGGAACACGCTGTATGTAGTTGTTATAGGAACATAATCTTCAACTCTTGGATATCTCCCCCCCCAGAAGAGAGTAGAAGAGTATCATCTACTCCAGAATAGCCCAAAATTGCAGGCTTTTTTCCTATTTACCATTCTGAAAGTAAACATCAGCTTAACTCACCTACTTTGTTTCCCAAATTAACTAAAGAAAACAATGTTTAACGGAATGTTAGGAATGGTTGTTAAACTATGTATTGCAATGCTATTCTAAGAACCCCACAAACAGTCCACTCATGTGGTGCTCTTATAGTATTTACAAATAAAATTTTGATTACTAAGAATTCACAACAGTTTCAAGGGCTTACAGTGATCCACAGTTTCTTGCTGCTAGTTCCAGTTAAAGAATCACTAGCTTGAAAACTGAGATAATCTGTTATCTAGAAATACTGCTTTTCAGATTGGGTTTAAAACATTAATAAATCAGCTTTCATGGTATGCTTTCACCTCCTGTTCTGCAGATAATTAGAAGAATTTCATCTGATGAAAGCTGACATTTCAGCACTTTGTGAGAACACCATGTTCTACAGATGTACTTCTAAAAAGGTGATTTACATTATAAGTGCAGTGTTAAGAGCAAAACATGTTCCTTAGGTTGTCAGGAAGGAAAAAGTTCTAACCCAATGCATGATTGGACTAATAAAGATTCTTAAAGTCTACAGAATCTGGATTTTATTATTTTGTTTCTTTGTTTTACTTTTTTTTTTTTTTTTTAGAATTCAATTACTGTTGAATATATTCAAATACTGTTTTTATAATAAAAATAAGCATAGACTTGTGTTCTTGCATTCACTGACTCAAGCAGTGATAAGGGTTGTTTAATGGAGTTGGTACTGGTATTGATTGTTCATTGCTTAAAAAGGAACTTGCAGGTTAATCAGATCTGCAAGTGTCTTTCTCATTATTTACATTGCTGGAGAGGATTAAATATTAGGGGGAAAGACCAAGGTTTGCTTTGCTAGATAAATAAAAATCAATTTGTTGTTGTTAGCAAATGTGTTAAATGTAGCAAGGTAACAAATCCTGCAGTCCTCTCGAGGATGATTTTTCAAGACAGAGTAGCCTTTGAAAGGCAGTAAAGGCAAGGCTGTGAACAGGGTACTACGTAGGAGGTATTGTTCACTCCCTCTTCTGGTTAATTCTTCTGTTAACCTCATTTCAAAATCTGATTTTTCATGTAATGTGCAATATTAATCTCCACAGGGGATGGACAATTACACACAGCTGTTTCTTCTTTTAATCTTGTTTCCAACTCATAGCTTGGACATTTCTTATGCAAATTGTTTGTGTTCATGACATTCAAGCTCTCTAATGGATCTGGAGACAGCTAATGAGACTGGAAGTAGGTCTTGATGAGATTCTATAATGCAGAACACCTTCACCACATATTGTTTTGCAGCTGCACTTGCAAATTCTGTATCCTTGTGTGTTTGCATTCCTCTGACTACTTGCAACACCAGTTGTATTGCTGACAGCCAAAGTTTATTGGTGAACTCTTTTGCCAAGTTCCAGCACCTGTGGTAACAAGTGCCTTATTCAATAATAATAGTATACCTTGTATTTTTATCAGGCTGCAAAGTAAATGGGTGTATAGATTGGGAAGAGTTGAAACTGATGCACAAAATTATGATCATGTTTAAGTCTGCTTTCTCTAAAGCTCTCCAGCTAGCTATGCTGGAAATATTTTTCCTCTGAAACTGTGTCTTCCTAGATTGGCAGATCAGGGATGCACATGACTTGGATGAGGGTGGATTGTTCTTCCTCACATAGTATGGTCTAGTTCTGCAGTAAGAGGTATCCAATGTGTAACAACAGAACAGGTCCTTATCTCATTCAATTGCCTGATAGACAATGCAAGTCAGAGAGTACATTTTATCAGTGTTATGTTTGTTTACTTCTGTGTGTCTGTATACCGTATAAATCTCTGAGTCCATTTGGCTAAGATGAGGATGGAAGAACTGACAAAGTGACATGGGTGAAATGCAGCTTGCACTTTGATTGTATATAGGTTTCATTTTTAAGTATCTGAACAAAGCAGATTGCAAGAAGAGAAGAAACTGCTTGTTCTGCGGTTTGGAGGTCAATTTATTTCCCAAATTGGAAGCAGGAAGAGGATTCACCTTTTTTTATTGGTAATAATTAAGTAAAGACTTTTGGGCTACAGCACCAAGGAGGCTGGACTAAGCTGGAGGAAACAGCTTCATACAGCCCGATTGCCAGAACATAAGATTATTCAGTACCATATAGGACTAAGACCATAACCCACAAGCCTCCAGAAATGTTCAGCATAAGCATATTTTCAAAATAAACTCATATACAAAAATATATTTAAACTTCTCCTTTCCTGCATTTTACACAAGAGAGTCATCTGACCTTCCAATAAAAACAGTTATATCCACGATTTACCCGAACTCTCCTTTTCTACTTCCAGCTCCATCAACATCTTATTTCTTACAGTTTTTCAGCACAAAGCAAATTTTTCTCACATTCTAAGCAATTTGACACAGAAATGTCTCCTAAAAACTCCTGGAGACTATATGGCGCTAGATTTTCTTCTGCAGAATTAGGCACATGATGTCAGGATCCTGTGTGCACTACAACCTACATCAGGGGGAGTTGCCTACCTTTCCTGAACTCGCAGTTGACTGTGACTCCCTCAGGCCTGCCCTGTTCCCATCACTTGGGTGTAATGGGACTGTGCCCTTGACTTTCAGGTCTCTGTCATTGCCTTGTTGTCACCCTTGGCTCCCAGACTCACTTCCCTCGGGGAGTAGCTGGTCCTGCAGCTTCTGGACACATACCTTTAAGGTCAGAAGGTCTTAAACTCTCATTTTTAAATACACTAAAGCCAGAACTGGTTGGACAAATAGCTTTTGATTAAGTTTCTATTAGACATCTGTCTACTCACTTCCACTTTGTGAATATTAATCCTTTTATCTCAAAAAATGACTAGCTGGCAATCTACCTATTATGCACACTATCGTAAGATCACCATGCTGATGAGCCTAAAGTCTTGACAAGCAAAATCTCACCAAGAGCTGCTTCTAACATGTCAGA